ACCGTTCTCAAGCCACTCCTCCCCCAGTCTGTAGTGCTGCATGGGGTTGTTGTAACCTAAGTGCAGGATCCAGCACTTTGTCTTATTGAACCTCATGCAGTTGTTCTCAGCCCGTTGATCAAGTCTGTACAGGTCTCTCTGTAGAGCTTTCCTACCCTTGAGCAGATCGACACTCCCACCCAACTTAGCGCCATCTGCAAATTTCCGGAGGGTGCACTCAATCCCCACATCCTGATGATCAATAAAGATGTTAAATAGGACCAGCCCCTAAACTGAGCCTTGAGGAACACAGCCAGCAACTGGCCACCAACTGGATTTAGCTCCATTCACCACAAGTCCCTGGGCTCTTGGTAAATAGTACCCTAGAATGAATAAACTTGGTAAATAGCATCCTAGAGAAAACTAGAATAACTGAGCAGACTCATGCTTTGCAACAGAAGTGGAGAAATTGAGTAGCTCAGGTCTTGCTTCATGTTAAAACTGCACCTTAAGGAAGAGCTCCATTACTCTGCATGAGGGCAGGGAGGTGGTAGGTGCAGGAAAGCTTACTGTTCAACTACTGGCAGAAAAAAACCGCTGCTAAAATAACCCCACAAATCTGAAGACAACTTTGTTTTCAAAATCAATTACACTTTGAAAGTTGGGATTGAAATGCAGTAATTGAGTAATTCCGTACAAATTTGTGTTGCTATGCAGTAAGGTCCTATACACATACAAATGACACTTGCATTTAGTTTGCAAAATTAGTGATTTATGTACTTACTTTGACCTGAGGGTATGATTTTTTGTTCTTTTCACTAGAAGCACCAGGAAGTCCACCATGTGAAGGCCCTTCACATACATATCGGAAACGAAACCCCCTCTGTGGAAATAAAGGAAAAGAAACTTGAAAGCTGTTTAAAAACAAAACCAAAAGAAAAATAGCACAATGCACAGATGAACATGCATGCACACAAATAAGACTTACCCAAAAGGAAAAGTTACAACTGTTCACCCCTGAAATGCTGAGTGCTGGCTAACAAAGCACCACTGAACTATAGCCCTGGAGAAACTGTTCCTATTCTCACTCTTACAGCAGCAACCTGATTTTTTCTTTCAGTTAAGTGAAGTTAATTTGAAGCAGAGATCTATTTGTACTCTCTAAACAGGATAAAAATTAACATGTAGAAAATGCAAGAACATATACTCTCTACCACGATTGCTGCTAGACAGACAAAGCTGAAGACAATAACAATCAAGGAAGTCCAGAGCATCATAATGGAAAGAAAAGGGATGAAATAGAAATGCTTCTTCCTTCTGAGAAAAGCATATGAAAACTGTATCTCCAAGTGAAGTTCAGAAACAGCACAAAAGCTTCAGGGGACTTTGGCTGGGTCTTCATCTCAGCTACATAAATAGACATCTCAATATTTTAAACAACTGTAGGATATTAGCAACCAGTTTAGAGCACAGCTCTCCATTTATCCTGTTTTTCTTTCTAGAAAATAACATCCCCTTTACTTCACGGGGTAATCTGTAAGGTACAAAAGATATTTCTAGGAAATAACATCCCCTTTACTTTACGGGGTAATCTGTAAGGTACAAAAGATGCAACTCTTAAGCAAATGCATTTAGCAATTTTAACTCTACTTAACCACACTATTTCATGTGGCCCCCAATTCAAATCTACTCTTCAGTCCTGTAATTTCTGGCAAAATCTCCTTCTTATGTAGGGCTCCCAGTGCCTGTCCAAATAGCACCAGTTAGTGTTGCATACTTTGTCAAGAATCATTCAGCTTCATTCTAATAGCAGATGACTCTGAATTCAAAGTCTGTATTAGCTGAAAGTGAACAACGCAGTTTAAAATTACTCTGCAAACATTAGCCTTAACACCTATCTCTTAACCTTTTCAGGTTAAGAATTTGTTTCCCAGGCAAATATCAACATCTGATTTTTATTCAAATAATGAACAATTCCCTTCCTAAGACAAACTGAGTGACTGAGAGCACTGCAAGGGAAGTGCCCAGCTATTGATGAGCTTGACCTCAAATTGTCCAAAAGGCAAAGCAACCTCTGCAGTCAGGACACATGAGACGACCCAGTCTCTCTTCACCTCTATGCCTTTGATCCAACAGATCCAGCAGCCATCTGTGTGGCCTTCCTCAGTCTAGTGCCCTTGCTAGCCTAGCTATGTTTTCACGCATGCAGTCTTATTCCCCTCAGCTGTCTGTCTGCTCCAATAATGATCACAAGCACATCACTCTGCTGATAGATCAACCTCATCATCCTGTTACAAACCATTGCCCAGCTTGACATATGAGTATTCCAAGACATGAGCCACTTGCTGAGAAGTCACACATGGAAACAATGGAAACAATGGTGTCTTCTTACATACTGCACACTGTAGGCCTCATCATGCAAAGACACGGCCTGATTTGGGATGAACTAAAACAACAAGAGGCAGCATATGCTTCTAAGACTTCACAGTACACTGCCGTTTCACTTATGACCATGAAGGCTCCCTGTACCTGGGGGGTGCTCAAGCACAAAAATGTCTTTGTGGCAGGTTGAAACCAATGTTCTCCACAGCCTCCTACCAGGCACTGGATTGCCACATGCTTCTGCAGAAGACCAAATGGAGGATGGGACAGCTTTTAGCTACCCTCTTCCCCCATTTACTGAACAGCTCTATAAGGTAGGATTTTAGCAAGTCATTGGGACAGACAGGAAAAGCACCTCCATACTGTAACAGTTGCAGGAGGAATTCTTGTAATTGTTGGTGCCACCAGGCATACTGCAGGGCAATCTTTACCCAGCAGTTATTTTGTACGTCAGCTGCGTGAAAACTAAGCAGTGCATTGGGATGATTTTTCTGGTGTCAGAGGAGCGTAAGGCAGTGTATCTCCAAGTGAAGTTCAGAAACAGCACACAAGTTTCAGGGGACTTGGGCTGGGTCTTCATCTCAGCTACGTAAAAAGCCATCTAAATACTTTAGAGAACTGTTAGAAATTAACTTCTTCTTTAGAGAACTGTTGGAAAGTAATTCAAAACAGACAACTGTATCAAAAGGAATCTCAAAGGACAACTGGATTTCCATACAATGACAAAGTACAAATCAAAAATTCCTGTAATATGGGAACAGAATGAAGTGCTTTTATTTTTCATTTCTTGTGTTTCAAGAAACATGAAACAAATCCTGAAAATCTTCCATGTTTGGTCTACCAGTTTATATTTCAAAATACTGGGGTACTGTAAGAGCCACTTCTAAAATTAAGAGTCTGTACTTAGCAACACATATTTTTAAAACCCTCATGTTTTGCGTTTTTTTTTGTATTATGACGCTTCCAGAGAGACACAAAGATGAAAACAGAACAAAACAGGAAATGATTTAACTACAAAAGTACAAGGAAAAGCTGCTCATGTTCAAGTGCCACATTTGTTCTGCGAGTTCAGCCTCTTCAGTACTCTTCTCTCCTTAAGTCCTGAGTTAATTCAAAGCTGAATGTAGAAATATAGCTACCTCAGACACTCTCAAAATGTAATCTTGTTCTTACCTGTTTTGGTTGTTCTATGATTTGAAGATATGGTCCATCTGCTAACATAAGAGAAAGAAAAGTATTAATAGAAATCATATTTCTCTTACTATGACATATAAGTTGTAGGGGTAATATTATGTCCTTGAATGTCTTGAGATAAAATTCTTGAAAGCACCTAAGCCTCTTCACAACTTAAATTTCAATAAATAATTTAATCACTTGGCAGTCGGTCATTTCCAATATTCCTAAAGACCAGCAGAGATCTGGAGGACCAGAAGGGAAGAATTAACTCAAAAAAGTTAATTTTCGTTCAGAGGGCCTGAATGGGTAACTCTGATCATTCAGTTAAAACTTGCAAGGGTGAGTAAGAACAGGATTCCTCCCCTAGTCACTGACAAGCAGTCTGGCCTTCTTGAGCTAAGGTTAACTTTTGTATTTAAACCCCTTGGGCTCTAAAGACTACTCACATGCTTTTGGCCCTAGGGCTTCCTACTGAATAGATGCTTTTGAAATTCTAGAGACAACCAATGGGAAACTCTGAGGTATAGGAATACAGGAAGAATTTAAGCTGTCTCAACATGCCCTAACAGTCAGAACTGCATTTAAAAAATCCTGGAATTGAGAAGACTAAACAATTTACATTCTTTTAATAATTTCAGATTCACTTTTAAAAATACTGTTCTGCTGTGCCTCTAAAAACACTGAACACATTCTATCTGACTACAGATGAGTCTCTGTACTGAGATCCATCTTGAGCATGGTGCCAATACATAGGATTATGTTCTACAAAAATTCTATTTTTGTCTTTTAAAGAAAACTTCCTTAAACAACTTTCAGCCTCATGAAAGTGGCCAACGTCATACTATAAATGTAATTCAAAATTCACCAGTTTAAACAGCCTTCAAGCAGGCCCTAAATCCAATGAGAAATCAGTGCCACCAGAGTTATAAATTCATCATCTGATGAAAGCTTAGCTTCAACTCTGACCATTTAGACTACTTACATCAGAAGGAAAGCTCTCTAGGTGGATGGCCATGAAATACCTCTTAAAATGAAAACCACTCCTGAGCCTGAAAATGAGTTCCAAGAAGTATGATTTCTTGCCTGCCTCTTGCTAAAGAGACATGAAGTTTTGTATTTCAATGCTAAAAATTCAGTTGTTTTCAAGGTAGATTTCAAATAACACCTTCAGTGTGAATACCTGCATAACATTTTGCCAGCCATATTCCTGTTGGAATTACATATCATCTCTTATACTCTATTAAAGGTATTAATGCTAAGGAATCAAGCAAGCTCACTGGGACATATGAAACCTCCAAAGCAGACAAGCCAGAGCTATGTGGCAGAGGTGGCAAGCATACAAAGCATTCCATGCCCTGCCACATCCACGTGTGATCTGCCTCCAAACAACTGCACCATTTGCAAGGACCACACCACCCAGCTGCCTCAGCTACATGTTAGCTGGCTTCAGCACAAAACTACGTATTTGCACGTACCTTATTTTGTCAAAAAGCCTAATGTTCAGTGATAATTCAAAATAGTAAGGGATTCATTAACATATAGCTTGCTCTATGGCTACATGCATCCTTCTCAGCTCCTCAATACAACTGCATTTAAATAAAACAGACCTTTGTGTCTTTGGTCAGCACAGGTCTTAATGAACAAGCTTCTCTCAACATAGAAGTTTTGATAAATACACTAACAGATGAAATTAGTATTCTGCTGATGCAGTTAGTTGACTCAGCAATGGAATTACCTTCATGCCAAAGTTGTATTGCAAATGTCAGTCACAACAATTTCACATATCAAGATAATTTATTGCCCAAGACCAACAAACACAATTTCCTGTGCAAATGTAAGCAGTGATACTTGAAGGCATGAAACAATTGTCTCAAAACCACATACACAACATTTTACATTAGAAACCATGAAAAAGTTTGGACTTCAGAAACTTTACAAGATGTAGAGTAATATTTAGTTATGGCTTTTGTTTCAATTTTTGTCTCTAACAGAGTCAAGATGAGCTGAGTTGAGTTTAAGCAGCATATCAGCACTTAAATTTAAGACCTCTGTTCATGGACCTCCTCATGCTTTAGGCATCTGAAATTTTATACTCTAACAATCCAAAAGCCTTGTATTCTCTGGGCACTGGCAGAAATATTGAACCTAAAATACAACTGTGTAGTTCAACTTTCAACCCAGCCTCCAGGGCATGATCTGCCAAGTAATTGTTCTTTGGCTGTTCTCTTCTGAGGAATTCATTTTCAAGGCATACACGTTGGATTAGTATTGGCATAAAATGCTACTGCTTTCTCCTTAAACATTAGCCAGAAAAGGAGGCATTCTTATCCAACAGCTAGGTAGCTGCAGAAGTCCCCCAGGATGCAGCAGATCCAAGTTCCTAGTTTTCCTCAGCATAAGGACATTCAAGGAAAGCTCAAGGAAAATTCTTCAGACCACTGAAATGGTTTGACCTTGCATGGCATTTGTGAAAACTCAGGAAAATTGCAAACTTAGAACTGTGGTTCTTCTGCTTCCTTGGAAAAAGAGCTTATAAAAAGCATATGAATATACGGATAAACAAAATTAAATCAAAATATCTTACTAACACTAGGAAAGTGCAAAAAGATGCCATGCAAATGTACAAAGGCAAATTAGATGCCTATTATGATAAATTCACATCACACAAATCATATACCAGTGCATTTAAAACATAGTTTTGTGAGGTCTTATTTTAACTTTTGGGTTTTGTGACTGAACACTTTTTTAACAACTAAGTAATTTTCCATTATAAGCATCTGAACCATACCCAAGTAACAGTACAGAGAAGGCACTCTCATGTGAGTCACCTAACTTCATCTGAAATGCTATTTCAAAATAAAGAAGCAATGTTCAAGAAAGCATCCAAGCATAAATGGCATATTATTTTGATTATAAAAAGGATTTTACTTAGCAAACGTTCTCATACAGCTGTCTTCACTAAACTCTGAATACTTCCCAGAAGTACATTAGACAGTCTAACATTGGCTATGAGTGGCTCCTTCTTTCTCTCATCCTTTTCCATGGGGAAAAGAAAAGACTCTCAGTGTTTTGTGCAGGGAAGTTTTTAATATTTTGTTTCTATTAGTAGGCATGTCTGGTCTAAGCAGACAGCAGAAATCTGAAGAGGAACACCTTTTAATAGTAACTAATAATGATGAGATTTGTGATGATTTTTTGCACTTCTGTTCTAGCCTGGAAGGTTACCTGCTTCAAGTTCTTGTTTAATAAGCAGCTCCTTTCTAAATGTTAAACAACCACAAGAAGGAACACTACCTAATGCATAGCCTAAGTTCTACTTCTGCCCTACAGAGAAGCTGAAGGCACACAGTCATGGAGTTGGCCTCTACACAGGCATGACTCTCATGGTTGCCAAGAGCCAAGTTTTGACATGAGCACTCCTCACAACTTGCCTGGCACTGCTGCAGTCATAAGGGCCAAGAACTGCAGCTTAGACATGCACTCCTCCAGTCTGGAGGGGCTTTAGTGCAGACTGTCACACCCTGGGTATGCTCCAGGGCTTCTTCTTCTGTCCTCTTGCCTCAGTTGCCACAGACCAACTTGCATCCCACTGCCTCCCCTCCAGCCTGAGTCACAGTCCCACTTCCCACATCTTCAACTGCTAAATTTCTTCATTTTCCTTCCTGCCTGAGTCAGAGGCCCTCCTGCCTCTTGACACTCCCACCACTTACATTCTCTCTTCCACTTGACAGGCCTCACGCTACACACACACTTCCAAAGGAGCACTCATCTTACACTCCCTCTTGGTTCCTCTTCCCATCATAGGAAAACATAAAAAAAATAAATTCCCCTATCAGGGAAAAACGTGTCTCTCGGTATATCCCTGCAAGCACAGCAGCACTGTTGGACTAGTGGGGTCCTTTATCTAACAGCTTTCCTAGTACCTGAAATCATTAATTTTAACATGCAACCACCTGTGGACAAATATCATCCCTCACCTCCTCTTTGTTTGTGGGTCCCCCGAGAATAGGCATCTCATCCTTGCAACTGCTATTTTGCTCTGTGGACATGGATGAAAACACTCATGGCCTCTAGGTTTTCATTGCTATATACCACACCAACACTCGTGTCCATCCTGGCAGTGGTACCTTGCTGCTAAAAGCTGAGACAAGAGACCTAGTACCTTATCCTTCCTGGAGGCCTATTGTAGCATTTGTGTGTCCTCCCTCTCAGGGATTCACCTGCACAGGAACACTTTCTCGAATCTCACCTCTACAGTGTCCAAAGCATGATATTTAAAGCAAGTGGCACATGGGCTTTGCTTAACCTCTTACCCCAGTTCACTCTTCAAAATACAAGCAGAGATCTAGAAGGAACACCAGACTCTGTATACAAGTCTGCTCAAGCTTCTGGGGATTATGGCCACTGCTATGGGACAGGGAAAATGAACACTCATCTCATTTTTGGTGATGGCCAGGCTTCCTTGAAAGCCTAGAAATATATCTCCCTGAAAAAATATGAAATGAAGCTTTTTTTAAGTGCCTTCTTTTTCCCTCTATGCCCTTCTGATTTCTCAACATTGAGCGTCACACAGAGTCGAACAGAGGAGGCTAAAGAAATACCAGGAACTATAATTTTAGCAGCCTCCAGGCAATACTGTTCAGCTCCCAATAGGTTTACTTCAACAGTTTAAAAATTCACCACCTTAATGCCAAGAGCTAGCTAGATCAAAGCTCCTAGAGTCCAAAACAATTAACCAGCTCCCCAAACCACCTCTAACTGGCACACAGATGGCTACATTATATGGTTGTAGACGACGTTGTATAATCAGGAGGGAATACAAAACATCCAAAATTATAAACCACTTTGCTCAGAGCTGTGCCCATTTCCTCTCCAATGTAAGGAGATCATTTGAGGCATCACTTTGTCTCTCCATTACACAGTGGACATTCCAGTGATGTGTATCTGCTTTTACACTGCCTAAATATGTGCCATGGGTAACGTTCCCTCCACTTCAATGTCACTGAGGATCAGCACCAAACTTGCAAAGGCAGGATACTTGCCAATGAGCCAAAGAAGACACTGACTTTGTGGCATACTGCCTTTGCTGCTGGTGCTGTTTTAAACACACAGCTCCATACTGCCACTGTTACAGCACTTGTTATAGATGCATCTTTTTGTCCCAAAAGCACACAGAGACTACTTCTCTTTCTAGGCTTAGATGCAAATGTAAAACTTGAACTACTCTTGCTACTAGAGCAGTAACTCTACTACAGCTTTAGAGACAAAATAACAAAGCCTAGTTTTTATTTAAAACTGACGTATGTGAAAGAGAAAAAGAAGCAAGCAAAGACACTTGAGTGCTGACAGTGGCATTGCCATTCCTTGCCCCAACATCTCAAAGGTTTTCTACTATTACTGTAAATATTAACATAACAGGAGAACATCTATCATCAGAAAGTCCCCAAATTCCCCACCTATTTGTTGATTCAGCTACACTGGCATGATAGGGCAATCTACAGTTATATATTAAACCTGCCTGCCAGTGTAATAGGTCTGGCACTGTGCATTTATGAGCACACAGATTGAAAGACACAGACACCACAAGCAGATCATGAGGAACAATTAATCTCTTCAGTTCTTTCTGTTTTAATCATCCAGCTGTCCTAGAGAAAAGTCCTCTTTATAGCACTCTCTCCATATCTCAGCTGGAAGCACTTTTGGAAAATCCCACATGAATTTTTACCTGACCTTGCTGTGTAGAAGGAAATCATTAGTCTTTACTTGTAAACCACTAAAGGAGAATATATAAATTATTGTATTCTCTTATAACTGAAGAGCTAGTCCATAGTAACACAGCATACTTTCAAGCAGGGGAGAAAGTCAGCATTACAATTATACTACTTAAGAAACAAAGTGACTGTGGCATCATGAGATGCCATTGAAATGATTATCCTTTTGTAAATCTCATTAAGAACTTTTTGTTAGTGATAACCTGAAATTCAGGATCCTCTACTGAATCCCATTTTGCACACAGGGAACTCACCACCTGTAATTCAGCCATTGACAAGAGAAGTGGCACTTTAAAAAAAAAAAAAGTGTTTTCTAAGTAATTTTTCAAATTAAGGACAGAGCTAGACTTAGCCCAGTTAGAGTTTCCTGTGACTGCAGCACTCTGTCAATCCTTGACTTCCCAACATGGTTTTGAAAACAGATGTTTTCTACTTTAGACACGACAGAGATGAATCCTTGACTCCCCAACATGGTTTTGAAAACAGCTGTTTTCTACTTTAGACACGACAGAGATATCTGAAAATAAGTTTTACATATCTGAATAATTTGTATGGAATGAATCTGGCATGAGTAGTACAGAGTAAGCTTAAAGAGTACGTGTAAGAGAGACCATTATGGGGAAATTTCAATAACCTTATTTGTTCCACAGAAACTTTAGGAGAGCAGTGAAAAAATACCCCTTGGTCTACAATGCACAAGCCCTTTAATCCCACACAGATGAATCTTATGGCATAATTTTATCTGCCTTAAAAACACACCGCAAACAAATGATTGCAACATTAATTTGTTGGATGCTTGTCTGTATTTGTCAAGTGCTTTACTCATCAGAACATTTATCCTGAAACAAAGTTATCTGTACCATATGTGTTTCTTGATCCTTCCTCACTACTACTCACTCAAGAAAACTGAAATGTGGTTTAAACCAGGAAACACAAGAACAGTAAGCATGACTTAATTTTTGTTTTTAAATCGGCATTTATTGTTACTTCAGGGTACAAATTTACCTATGAAGGAAAATGCTAAATGTTTATTTCATTTTATCCTTCACACCTTCACTGCATATTAAAAGACATTAACAGCTATATTGGAGATATATAGTGAGAAGAAAATGTAAGTTTAAACAATTTTTAATTTATTTCTTCCTTTCATATCAGCTATTCTAATAAACTAAGCAGGAGAAAAGAGTTTTCCAAATTCATGCAAGAAGTAATATTTATAAAGAAATTTAATAAGCAAAACCAGACCAAGGTTGATCAAGCAGCTAATACTGACTGATCTGTAACAGATTTGTATCTGATATTCCAGTTCTGGAACCACACTGTAAGAACTGCTCATCAGACTTTGCAGAATACTACTTGGTTGCAAAATTTGACTCTAAACTCTCAAACTAGTGTTATTACTCAGGAAATTGTCAGGTACTTTTAGTACCACACTACCACTTCACAGGAAACAGAGGTCACAGAGACGGAAAAACAGATTCGAATTGTACAGGAAGTTAATATTCTCTACATTTTATTAGTGAAAAACAAGCAACCTTAAGAATTACTGCAGCAAATGAAACAATGTTCAAAAAGGAAAAGAAGCACATGTTGCAGACTGCAAACTGACAGTATAAATATGTAGGTCACCGAAGATGCAAATTTAGAAAACATCACAAAATAATTTATAAATTCAAGTCATTCAAACCTCTTTGGTCACTGTACTGGTTTCACCTGGGAAAGTTTGTTGAAACTTTCAGTTTCTGCACAAGCCAAAAGAAAATCAGATTTGCCTCACTGCTGAAAGTTTCATGAGGGTAAGGAGGACATGCAAAAAGACGTAATAAAAAAAAAAAATCTAGTTGACAACTTAGCAATCTAGTATTATGAAATACAAGACTATAAACAAAAAAGCATCTGAAAAGAACTTTACAAAAGAAAACAAACAGGAAGAATCAACAGACAACAGCAGCATCAAATAGTAACAGTTCCTACCTGTTCGTAGTGGTAAGTCTGAAGTGATGTAATTTGTACTATTAAACAATGCATTCATTCCCATGAACTGATCCACTGCAAACATCTATATTTAAAGAAAATATACTCTTCATTACTACACACAAACATAATTGCGTAAAGCACCTATCCACAAAGAATTTCAAAGTTCTCTGCAAATATTGAGACTGCAAACACCTTGTTGAACTACATCAACATTTTATGGCTGTTTTATTTTTGCTGGCAACAGGAGTGCAAGGAGAGCTGACTGCACTGAACCAAGTTTCACCAGTATCATGAGACTGCACCGACCTCAGCAGTTACTAAACATGCATTTTGCTTACATGCACTAACAACTACATATTCCAAGGAACTTATACAATAAATTCTGAAAATCTGTCTTGCCCAAGGCCTTGCTGAGAATCTGCAAGTTTTTGTTTCCACTTCTCTGATTAAAACCCACCAGATTACATTCCTTATGTAAATACATGTATAAGCTCTAATGCAAGAAAACAGTATACCCAGGTTAAAGTTTTCTGGGTTTTTAGTGGTTTAACACTGACATGTCTTAACTCACTGTAATTGTTGTCAGATATAAATCTATCTTCTTCCAAAGTGGAGCAAGCACAAAGGAGAAAATAGTTTCTTTTTGAAAATTAAAGTGAGTAGAAATTATCTCATTTTCACTTAAACTTTTCACCCAAACACCATTCTCACAGTTCAAATAAATCATTAAATGACCTAATGAGATCAGAAAGAGCTCATGAGACCTGAAGAGCTAGACCTACAAATCTGTGTGAGTGAAAGAACATTTTAGTCATTGATGTCAATGCAAATATCAAAAACAAATTGCACAAAAAGGCCTTTTAGGGTGTAAGGGGCTTTATTTTCAGATAGAGTCCAATGTCCACCTCAGAAGAAATTTCAGAGCAAGTGTCACAGGCAGGAGGAGCATAAAAATAAGTTGATGCTTTTCAGTTGCTTATTTCAGCAGGCCTAGCTCTCCTTTTCATTTCAGCCATTTAACCAGTGGCAAGGCAACTTCACAGGCCACTGGGGAAGAAAAGATTCAGATTTCCCCAAATCTGATTTCTGTCAATGCAGAATTTTTTCTTATGTTCAAGTTGTTAAATCTAGGAAATGACAGGACAATATGAGAGAGCACCCAGAGAGCTAGGAGAGGATACAGGGATACTGAAAACACAAATCTACTTACTTGGGGATCGGATACTCCCATAATATAAGAATCTTCTCCTGCCATTTTAAGTCCTGAAACACAAAAACATGATTAGAACTCACTATTTCAATACACAGCAATAGATAAACCTGGAAATTGTTAAAAGGTTAAAGGCCCATCTCTGACACTCTTTATTTTACTTATAACACTAATGATTTCTAAAATATGTTTAAAATTCCTAAGTATTTGCAAGGGACAATCTAAGGACAGTATAGGCTACAGCCAAGATGTTCTATTGCCTACTCCCAAGCAACTAAAAATAATAGTCAAAGCCCTGAAGTAAAAATTTCTTAAAATCAGGAATTAATTTGTTTCTGTCTTTGCTCTGACTATTCTGCCATTTGGCTTTAGGTAAAATCATTACCAGAGTTTAGCAAAAGCAGGACTCTGCATTTTTATGCAATAAAAAGAGCATTCTGAGCATTCATGAATGAACCCTAACAGTTGTCTTGTGAAGTATTACTAAACACAAGAAAACGATGCCCAAGAAAGAACATGCACTATTTTTTGTTTAAAAACAAACAGGAACAAATCAGTGACTAATTTTGGATGCCTTTATTTCCAGTGGTCAGCAAGTGCTTGGCACCCACAACTCAGTGCTGAACATGACAATTATGGGTGTAGAACATGCCTAACCCTCTCTCACAGGTCTACATGTAAATGCTGGACACTGGCAATGTTTAGCTTGACTTAGTTTTCCTGGGGCCAGTAGCAAGCCAGCAGCAGAGCCTGTGAATTTTCTTAGGAATTTACTAGGTCTATTAGAAAATATAAGTGCTATTTCCTTTCATGTGGATGTCAGTAAAAGCATTACAATTTCACCTATGTTGATCTCCCAAAATAAGGCTTTCCAAGGGAGCATAACCATATGACTATTTCAAGACACTTATGTCTGCATGTAAGCAGACACTAAATAATGTTAAGAACTGACAGAAGATATAAACATCACTGGCAAGCAGGCACTAAATAATGTTAATAACTGACAGAAGATATAAACATCACTGGCCCTCATATTCCACCACAGTGAACATGAGCCATGTTTTCCAGCAAAGCAAAGTGAACTGTGAAAACCTACTGCACTGTCAAAGAGAGTTGCAAGCAACCAGTAAATCAATCAGTAAAGAAAAACTGAGTCACCATGTACTTTCTACAGGAACTAGACATCAAATATGAAGAACTGGAATACTTGGGTACTTCATTTTCATGAATGCTCAACTCAGCTTGTTAACAAGCTTTAAAGGCAACACATAGCCACCCATCCCACAAGAAGCAGAAAATGAAAAAAAAATTTCAATGGAGAAATAGACACTTAATACCCAGATGACATTCAGAAAAAAAAGGTCCATGAGGATAAAATTATTTTTAACCTAGAAAATAAAAGTACACACCTGATTGCAATTCAGTTTCAGAGAGTAATACTTACTGGGTAGTATTTATCTGTACTATTTGAGCAAATATCAAATAATTGGACATAATATTTCAGAAAAAAACTAGTAACAGATACAACAAGCAGCCAATGTCACCCATGCTGCACTTCATCACCTAATACATCAGGATTTGAGCAATACAAAAAATCCCAGTCAATCATATTACTTCATAGGCACATTCTGCAAAGCATTATTTTCATCAGCAATTTGCTACTATCGTTATTAACCTCTATGAAAAAAGTCAACATACAAGACGTAATAAAGCCTTTGACTCTCTTCCACAGAATATAACCTCATTGACAAGCTAATGAAATAACTGAAATAACTGTAATTTAGTTTTTGTCAAACGCTTCTGAGTGAAAAGTGTGGATACCACAGAAAGCAATCTGAAGACCTCAACAGCCAACATTTTCTACAAAGCATCAGAGAATACCCACCCTGCTGATGCACACTGGTTAAGTAAGAGTGCAAATGTCAGGTTTTTTTCTGCACAAACAGAATAAAAACTGGTCCTAAAAGTCTTGGTTTGTGATCTCTCATGTCTAAACACTCTCATGAGTCACATGTGCAAAACCGTGTTCCAAAATACCTAAACTACCCAGACATGGTAAGTGTTCTTATACAGAAAAAAAGATTCTGAAGACCTAATACGAATAGCATCTGCCCACTTGCCTGTTTGCTAAATGTATACTTTGCAAAAGTTTAAAACAAAGCATCTCACAGCTTTTTCTGTAAGCCTAATAGGAAAAATTTAATAGCACATTCTATTGTCCTTGCACTATTTTCTCAGGCTGCACTACTCTTCCTCCATTGGAACTCTATAGGACAAAGGTTCTCATACCTGCTACGCTTCCTGGTCACATCTACAGTTCTATAATCCATAACCTTCCAACAAAGTGAAAAAATATCACAAAGGCATTATTTCTGAAACCTCATCATTTAAAGTACTTTGATGTAAACATTAAAATCCATACAGAAATAAAACCTGCTTATCAGAATAGGTCCTTCAGTTTCACATCATCAAAACAGTAATTTCTGACCTTTAGGCTGATGCAATGAACAATGTCATGAGAGCAAAACAACAGCCATTAAAGATGTCCCCAGTAGTCCCCAACACAAGAAGTACAAGGACCATTGGAGCAAGTCCAGATGAGGGCCACAAAGATGCTCAGAGGGCTGGGACACCTCTCCTCTGCAGACAGGCTGAGAAGGTTAGGGCTGTTCAGCCTGGAGAAGGCTCCAGTGAGACCTTACAGCAGCCTTCCAGTACTTAAAGGAGGCCTACAGGAATCCTGGAGAGGGACTTTTTACAAGGGCATGTAGTGATAGGACAAGGGGGAACAGCTTCAAACTGACAGAAGATAGGTTTACATTAAATATATGGAAGAAATTCTTTACTGTGATGGTGGTGAGGCACCAGCATGGGTTGCCCAGAGAAGCTGTGGATGCCCCATCCCTGCAAGTGTTTAGGTTGGATGGGGCTTTGAGCAATGTGGGCTAGTGAAAGTTGTCCCTGTCCATGGCAGGGAGATTAGAAATAAATGATCTTTATGATCCCTTCCAATCCAAACCAATCTATGATTCTATGGTTCTCTATATATACTCAGAAGCAGCAAGGTAACTACCCACATACTACCCAATTGCTGTAGGTATGTACTAATGAATTTCAAACCAAGTATTAAACACAATCTCTCTCACACAAAAAGCACAGGTGCCTCTTACCTGAAATCTTTCATGTTCAACAGTCAGCTGCAGTGTTTGGGGTAGAGGTTAAAGACATTCTCACTGCCCTGAATGTGAGGCCAGTTTATTATAAACAGATTATTATTTAGATGTGCAAACATACACATTTGTGTAAACTGACACTTCATCGCCTTTCCAGGGCCTAGACAAATATTAATCCAGTAGTTTAAAATGACCCTTCTAAATGACTGAAAACACTCTCAGTTTCACTATAAATTTTGTCCTCTTCAAAGCTGAACAAATGACAAAAATGTTCAGGGCACCCTAGCACCAAACTAGAATTTGCTTCCTTAGGATTTATTTAGTCAACAAAGTCCTACACTTCCTCTTCTTACATGAAAATTGGTGCAAATCCAGAGAGTCAATAACATGGTTAAAAAAAACAAAGAGACACTTGCAGAAAAACAGACATTAACTGTGTGACTTTTAATTGGCCTCTTCCCTTACGGCTCCTTTCTAAGCACCTTTCCAACTATATTAAGTGGTAAGATTAGCATCTACCTCGAGTAGCTTTGTTCATTGTGTACCTATATGAGTTATATTACAGGGCAGAGATTGCCTTCATCCAAGCTGTATTTGCTGCTATATGCACCTTAGAGGTGAAAACCATCTCTCTCTCATTCGAAGATGACTGGATTAAAATTGCTTTGTGGAAGTTTGTTATTATATATGCCTGCTTCCTGCATAATCTCCAATTCCCACAAACTGTACTGCAAACTTGCACCTAGAATTAAAAAAAAGGCACCCCGACACCTACAGACCACAATCAAACACGGCAGCCTCCACCCCAGAGACCATCTGAAGTCTTTTAGATAATGGGCCACAGGAAACTAGACATTTCACATCACAGTATTTTTAAGTGTAAAAAATCAAAGATGGGTGAAAGAACCTCACTTAGCTCCTAGGGCAATGGGAAAATATAAAATCTAGCTAAATTTTCCAAAAACATCTGTAGCTATTGAGGAGCTGTAAATGTGTAAGCATGTGCACATGCATCCATACGCAGTGTATTCCTCTCTCCTCACAGAAAATCAAATGCCATTGTGAAACAGGCTTAAAAAGGGAGAAAAATACTAGGAAGACATATATATATATATATATATA